AAAAGACAGACATGTGTCACACCAGCCCTCTGCTGGCTCAGGAGAGGCGCCAGAGGTAAGCTCATTTCCAACATCCTCATCCTGAGCAGTGCTGGAACATGGCACCTCACACTCCTGCATGCTGGAAGAACACATCATGCTTTTTAGTTTTGTCTTTGTGCATCACAGATCTACAAAATGAGCTGGAGGGAGGATTAGTATGCCCATTTTTCAGATGAGACAACTGACGTTCAATATTATGACTTAGTCATAACCTGGTAGAAGGAGAGAAGACCTGAGAGGTAAACTAGACCCAGAGAGTACAATTGCCTGGTCACACGGTGGACTGGGGGCACAGCTAGACTGGAACCTGACATCCCAATTCTTCCAGCACCATCTGCCTCTGGGTCTATCCTGGTGATGTTATGTTCTAGCAGGGTATGGAGGCTCTCCTCAGGAACTTGATGGAGTCTTTTTGATTGAGAAATGCATGTTTACAAGCACCACCCACAGACAAGCCCAATGTTCAGTTCGCTGTTATTTACATAAAGCCACTTAGCTTTTACTTGAACTCCCCAGAGCAATGGGAAATGTCTCCTGCTTCTGAGGTTGCCTGGAGAAGCCTCCACCACCTCCCTAGGTGCACCTGCCTCCTGTGCACTCTCACTGCCAGGAAATGCTTCAAGTCTAACTGCTGCCCTTCCGGCTGCGACTTCAGCCCAGTTCCTTTTGCTTGGGAAAGAAAGGAGGCCTAGGGAGCTGGGGAAATCTTCCAGAGGCTGGTGAGAGTGCCTGGATAATGGCTCCTTTAGGCTTACACGAGAAGCCAACAGGGTAGAGGTGCCAGCCAAGGTGACTGCCAGCACCTGCCTGGAGCTGCTCTGGGGGAGCACCTCCCTCGTCTCCTGGAGGCTGGCTGGCTCTAACCAGCATTTTCCCCAGTCACCCGACAGGACTGAAAGACAAAAAACCACCCCAGTGTTGACACCTCCCTTTGGTGACCTTGGGAGCCTTTCTGCACACTCAAAAAATAAGGTCAGACATGACTCCTGACAACAATAAGCCCACAAATTGAGCCTGAATGGAGGGACACAGTCCCTGCCCCAAGGGAGTCCTGGCCCTGATGGGGGAGACAGAGCCCTCCCTCCAGACTGATGGGGGAAACAGGAAACCTGCACACAGAGACCTACAGTGGCAGAAAGCCTGGGTAGAAGCCAAGGGGAAACAGCTGTAAAGAGGCGTGATCACTCAGGTGGGGCTTTCCAGGGAGGTGGGTGTGGGAAGGGCTTCACAGAGGATTGGCTGGCATCACTGCAGGAACACATGCAATTTTATAAAAATCCCATTCAAGGAAGGCAGCCCCACCCTAAAAGTCAGAAAAGGCCAGGTGGGGCGTGCATGTGTATGCTTACGTGTGGGCTCACGTGCACGCCCAGCCCCCATTTTCTTCTGTGGTGGACTGTTTATTTTCAGAAACAAACCAATGGAAAAAGTCCGGAAATCCTGCAGCAAACAAAGTCCCTCCAGTCTGCATATCGTGGGGCAAGAGAGAACAAACCTCAGGCTTAAGCTGGACCTTCTGGCTTCCCCGGCCAGGAGTCCCAGCCTTGAGGTTGTACTGACAGTGCTCCTTCCCTTCACAGGTCCCTGTTGCAGGCCCAAAGCTGCATTGTTCTCAAAACAATGGCTGGGCATAGGAAGACAGGGAAGAAGCAGAGGGAAAGGGGTACGTTTCTGAGCACCCCACAGTGAAGATTCCAGAACAGGAGAGGAAAGTTATGAAGGAAAAGAAAGGAAAAATGAGCAGTCATGCTGGGGTAGCAGGTGGATGGTCTGTGCTGCGAGTCGGGGCACCCAGCCAGGCTGTGCCTCATACTAGCTCTTTATCAGGGCCTTGAGCCAGTGTCAGTACAACCCTGACCCCATTCCCCAATGTTCTATGTTGCTCATTGGAAATGGTGGTCTCCAAGGCATCTTCCAGTGCCACAGGTGTGGCATCACTGAGCAGCTGTGGCACTTGAGTCTTGCCTGCCTACTCCTGCAGGGCTGACAAGCCCACCTGGTACAAAAAGAGGTTTAAGCCACTGTGACAAGGAGCATGGTGCCTCTATCCCACAACCAGGCCAGCAGTCCCCTGGAATACTCCCCATCCCCAAGTCCACACCGGACCCAAGCTATGAGGCCAGGGCTGCTCTGGTGTTGCTGACAGTCCTTCCCAAGCCAGGCTAGGAGGGGAAAGGGAATCTCCCACCTGGGCTAATATGGGGAAGCCCACCATGGGTTATACAGCACCAGAGGAGGTTTCCAGCCAGAGGCCAGAATCATTGCTGACTTGGCTGGGACATACAAAGGGGCCTCAGAATCCAACCCAATCCCAGAGCAAGGTGGTCTCTCTGCTATTCCCACTACAGGCTGCCTTGGCAGGCAGGGCTATCAGTGGTCATCCTGTCTATCCCTCCATCCTTCACAGGAGCTCTCCTGACAGCAGAGCAGGGCAGAATCCCACCAGTGATGAAGGACCCCCCCCCCCGAAGAACCTAACATTTCCTGCCATAGGCTGTTCCAGGGTCTACTTCCTCTGGCCATGGAGAAAAAGAGCTGGTTTCCCACGGAGCCTCTGGTGACTTGAAAGTTGGCCCTACTTCTCACTGTGCTCAGCTTTACCTTCCCTGAAAACTGCAATCACAGAGGTCACAAAAAGACCTCAGAGGTGATCCCTGGGATGATCAGTTCTCCCACCATTTTGCCTCCAAGACGGTATACCTCAGCCCCAGCATATTTCTCACAATCTGAAAACTCTGCATTGGGCGCTGAATGGACTGAGTAGTGTGGACTGTCCACTAGCTCCCCACCTAGCCTTCCCTGCTGACACTCACATTGATGAGGGCCATGATCCATAAGGCATAGGACACTCGGGTCCCCACCCCATCCTTCGGGGCCAGCCCAGGGAGTGTCTGGTTGGACCAAGGCTTGGTCTCAGCGTGGTGCTGGCCCAGTACCCTGGAGGCGTGGAACAGCTGACTTCTGGAGGTGGTGTTGACTGTGCTATTGGCAGGCAAGCAGTTGGCCTCAGACAGGAAGGGGTCGGCGATAAGGGGGCTCAGCAGAGCACCAAAGCCCACGAAGAAATGGAGCACCTGGAAGAGGAAGGTGGGGGGATGTGGCTCAGTCTTTAGTCCAAGGAAGCTACAGCCTGGCCTTCTGCCCACAGTGCCCACAGTGTGCCAGCTGTCCCTGCCCCACCTTGTGCCCCATCCAAGAGCCTCATCCTGGCTCCAGAGTGGGAAGCAAAGGGGATAGGAAGCAGGAGAAGCGAGGAAAAGTGACTGGCACCTACATTCAACCACCTCATGGCCTGGAATGACTCAGGGGGCCAGTTCCCTCCCTCCTTGTCTCTTTCTCAATCTTAACTGCCAACTAGGGCTGTTCTCCATATCACCAGCTTCCAGCTAACACCCCAAAGGGAAGGGCTAGATGGGAATACTGGATCCTGGGTGACTAGCAGGAGAAGGAGAAAGAGTAAGTAGGGAAGGAGACAGGAAGGGAAGCAGCAACCCTCACCCCCCATCACACCACATTTCCAGTTCACAGAGAACGTTCTCTTATGAGCAGTTAGGTTCCTGTGACATCCTGAAGTGCAGGCTGCTCAGAGATGAGAACACCCAAGGCCAGAGGCACTAAGTAACGGCCCAGTGCGGCCCACTGGTATGTGGTCACGCAGGGCAGACCCATCAGTGTCCTTTATAGGTCACCACCTGGGCCCAGGGAGAACAATACCTGGGGCAGGGGATGGGAGAGATGGATGGAGCCCAAGGAGCACCCCCGGCCCTCCCCACCACCCAGCCCCACGCCTACTGCCTGGCTTACCTGGAGGAAGACGGCCGAGTCCTTCTGGTACATCCTCACCAGCTGCATGTTGGCCACAGTGTCGATGCAGCCCATGGCCAGGCCCGCCAGCGCCATGACTGAAGCTAGAACCTTCACATCACGGCAGAAGGGGATGACGGCAAACACCAGGGAGATGGCCAGAGAAGAGGTGAAGAGGGCCCACAGCGACTGGGCCAGGCTGGAGCAGGGAGGGTGGTGTCAGGGGAAGGGGCTGGAGCCCTTTGAATGAAGCACCCCTCCCTGCCCTCCCCCGTGCTGGGTTGCCTCGGGAAGATAGGCATTTCCCACCCTCAGGTGGAAAGGGAAGGGCGCTGAAGCAGCAGCTCCCTCACGGGTTAGCCATGGGCTTCGGGCAAGCCATTGAAGGTGTCTGTCTCCTCGTACAACAATCTCTACCTCACAGTGTTGCTGTGAGAATTCCAGGCACTATGGAGTGTGGCCCACAGTCCACACTTCATAAACCCCAACTACTATTATTTTACGTATAAACAATTTTATGTTGTTTACTTAAACCTTAAATTGTTTACTTAAAACAATTAAATGCAAAAACATTTCCCATCCCTCTCAAAGAAGCTGCTTTGAGTCTCTTAAAAGAAGTTCTCTATCAGCAGGTGGAACCTGAGAGGAGCCCGGGCCTGGCACGCCCTGAGCTGGCATCTCCTCTTGCCCAGGGAGAGGTGCTGGCTGCAGTACGCCCCCTGCTCCTCTTCCATGTTCCCCCACTTGGTAAGGCAGCTATTCCCTTACACCAGGCACTAAGTAACTGCCCACTGCGGCCCAGCTGGTATGTGGTCATGCTGGCCCCAGAGCGGGAAGCAGGCACCAGGCCTGAGCCGCCTGCACCAGAGCCCAGGTATTTGGGTAAATTGGCAACCCCTCTAGCAGACAAAGGGTGCAGGTTCTGTGTCTGGAAATGTCTGGAAGAGAGACCCTGTGGCCAACACCACTGGGAGGCGTTTGAGTTGACCCTGTCCCCTTCTTCAGACAAGAGAAAAGCCCACAGAGGCCAGGTATGGTGGCTCACATCTATAACCCCAGCTCTTTGGGACACTGAGGCAGAAGGATCACTTGAAGCCAAGAGTGAGAGACCAGCCTGGGCAACATAACAAGACCCTGTCTCTACAAAAAAATAAAAAAGAAATTAGCTGGGTGTGGTGGCACATATTTTGTAGTCCCAGCTACCTGGGCAGCTGACACAGGAAGTGAGCTGTGATGACGCCACTGCACACTAGCCTTGGTGACAGAGTGAGACCTTGCCTTAGTCTTAAAGAAGAAGCCTACAGAAGGCAGGCTGAGGGCCTGTCTGCCCATGTGTAAATGAATGAATGAATGAGTGCCCAATGAGTGAATTGTTTAATTGAGCCGCCTGCACCAGAGCCCAGGTATTTGGGTAAATTGGCCACCCCTCTAGCAGACAAAGGGTGCAGGTTCTGTATCTGGAAATGTCTGGAAGAGAGACCCTGTGGCCCACACCACTGGGAGGCGTTTGAGTTGTGACCCTGTCCCCTTCTTCAGACAAGAGAAAAGCCCACAGAGGCCAGGTGTGGTAGCTATCGTAAATGTCTGCCCAATGAGTGAATGGTGTGTCTGAGGCTCTGTCATAGGCTGCTTGGGACACTCTGCCCAATGACCAGACTGTCAGAGTAAAGATTAAAGCCTTGTTTTTTTGTTTGTTTGTTTGTTTTTCTGGGACCAGTCTGAAAGGCTAATACCAGGGAGAAGAGAATGAGCAGCAAGAAGGTTCTAGAAGATTGTGGAACTTCTTCAGATTATGAAAGTTGAAGAGCCCCTGGTCAGCCTCTCGGTGGGCTGTTGGGCCTGGAGAGGGAGCAGGTGGGGGCAAAAAGACCTGAGTTTCCAGCACACTGAAGAGGGAGGTCCCCGGTGGCCCCCAGGCTGCATCTTTTCCCAGGGCTTTGTCTTTGAACCCCTTGGCCCTCAGCATTGGCCTTCAGCCAACCGTGTCTTGCTCTATCTTTGATTAAATCCATTATCAGAACGGCTCTGCTGATAGCATCAGTTCGTTATTTTCCCTTCTCTCTTTTCTGGGCTGATCTGTTAGGGAGATTACTGAACAAGAGCCCTGCCTGCTCCCAGTTCAGGACTGGGTGTGTGAGAGAAGAGGGTACACCTACAGCAAGACCAGCTGTTAGGGGGAAACCAGGGAGGGCAGCATTGTGGGAGGACTGCTCAGGTCCTTCCTGAGCCTCTGGCTCTCCAGGGGGTTCCTTCTCTGTCAGTCCCCAGTGCTGCAAGCCCAGGCTGCACAGTGCCCTGTCCTGCCCTGTGCCAGTCACTGTATGTTCCCTATGCTTCTGTGTCCTGCAGCACAGCCACCTCCTCCTTGGTACCCAGCACAGAAGCGATGCTGACACACACAGGTTGATAAAAACAGCAGACCTCTCTCATAGTATGGGGTTCTCTTTTTCCCTTCCTTTCCCTAGACAAGACAGACTAGGCAGCCTGCTGGGTGGTGGACTTCAGGGTCAGCAAGAAGGCACCTATTTGTACATGCAAATATTTGTCAAATATTTGGGACCAGAACTGATATTTCCACCACCTCATTCACCACTTTGCAGTAAAGCAGGGACACCCAGAAAAAAAATACTCTCTTAAAGAATTCTTTATCATTATTGCCTTTAAAAACCTGGAATGAAAGTGGTTCAGTAATGAGTCCTGTAGCAAAGTCCTGAGGGAATGGGATGTGGGATCAGTAAACTGAGATAGGAAGAAGCTGTGGGAAAGGAAACGATAATAACCAGCTCTGCAGTTTGCACGATAACCACCAGCGTTTGTTTATAGTGCCCCGGACATTTGGTGCACGTGAGAAGGCTGTGAGGTAGGCTTTGTAATTGTGCCCATTTGACTCATGAGCAAACTCAGAATGAGAAGGCTAAGATAGTAATGGACAGAGCCTGGGTTCAAACCCAAATCTTCTGCTTTTATCTTTTCCATGGAGGAGAAAGTGTGTGTGCGTGCATGAGGACGTGGCTTCTGGCTTTATATTCCCTAATGCCATGCTTTTCCATGGATGTGGTTGGTGCTGGACCACAGAGCCAGCCCGACTGGAGAGGGGAGCACCAGCTGAGAACATGAGGCCGGACTCTGCAGAACCTTCAACTGCAGGGATAGAAAACAATGATGAGCAGCTTAGTCACTAGAACAAGTGCCTCCAACGGTCCCTCTGAGGCTGTTATAGAGATCCAAATGCAGATCCTAACTGCTGGCTCTGTCACTAGCTTCCCAAGGCATGTGTTGCAGCCTGTTCCCTATGGAACTCAGACCTGGCCCCACGCTTGATGCTGAGAAGGTACTCAGTCCCGACCCCTGGATGTTGCTAGGGGCACATGCAATCTCGAAGGCCTGTCTGGCCACCCCACACAAGCCTGCAGGAACGGACTTCTTAGCTTAAGGAAGGCTAATGTAGGGGTTTTGCTAGATTATCTGCTGGGGGTAACAGAGGCAATGAGATAATGCGGAGATGGGTTGCTGAGTGGACAGCAGGGGACACAGGGGAAGGTGAAGGGCTAGCAGCAGGGGGCTGCCCTCAGCTTCACCTCTATCCCATGGGTCACCTTTGTCTTCTCTCACCTTGCCATTCTTCAGAATGACACTGGATGCTCCATGAGCGGTCATAGGGTGGGGGTGTTTTTCGTTCCATGCCCAGTAACAGGCAGGAGGGAGGGATAAAGAGAGAACAAACAGAAAATGGAGGCCGAAGGGAACCAGGCCTGGGAAGTCCCCTCCCTAGTCTCCTGCCAGACCCTGGGTTGTGCATTCTATGAATTGAGCTGATGCCACACAGCTGGGGCAGGAAGACTGAGCCCACATCAGGCTGGGGGTCAGGGAAATGGAGACCTGCTCCCAGTAAATGGGGACATCTGTGCCACAGGAAATCATGGTTTGAGATCCCAGGCTGCCCACCATCCCCAACTGTTTCAGCAGGGCTATGCCTGGACATTTCAAACATCAGGCCGAACAAATTTCTTTTTTTTTTTTTTTTAGAGACAGAGTCTCACTTTGTTGCCCTCAGTAGAGTGCTGTGGTGTCACAGCTCACAGCAACCTCTAGCTCTTGGGCTTAAGTGATTCTCTTGCCTCAGCCACCCAAGTAGCTGGAACTACAGGCGTCCACTATGCCTGGCTAACAAATTTCTTTAGAATGGTATGTTGTTGCCAAGAAAAAAAAAGTCCCAGATATATCCCAGAGCCAGACTGAAATACATTTATTGCCTATTTTCAATGGCTTGGTCAAAGGGCCCTTCCAAGAAGGTAATTGAAAATTATGGAATAACTATGTTAAAGCAGTTTTGGCACGGAGGATATAGTGGGATTTGTAATCAGAACACTGGATTCTAGACCCACCTTGACCACTTCCCAGTGGTGTGGCTTAGGGCAAGTCCCTTACACTTAGCCCCTCTTAGCCTCAGGTTACTCGGCTATAAAATGGGACTGCAAACCCTGTATGAGGTTGAAGGGAGGAGTTGAGATGATGTGATCCTCCTTCACTCACTGAATGGGCTTTCCCCATGGTCCCCTGCAGCCCCTCCCAGGTGCTTACCTGCTCCCTGGCTCTACCAACGAGCATTGCTAGACCCAGAGAACTGGGCTCCGCAGAAGAGTGCAGAGATCAATGCTGGCTCCTGACCTTCCCCCAAGGCCTGCCTGTGTTTCCAGTGCAGTGCCCTTTAGGGTGACTCTGGCCAGGAGCTGTTAAAGGGAGGTGCCATTGACCTTCATTCTCAGAGTCACTCACCCCTAACCCCACCATCTCAGCTACCCTTCATTTACAAATCAAGAGACTGAGGCCCAGACAGGAGCAGAGAGAGGAGGAGAAGACCCTGAGCCAGGATCCAGTGTCTTCACTCCCAATCCAGGCAAGGGCCAGCAGAATGTCATGGGCCTTTCTCCTTTTATCCTATGCTCACAGGATAATTCAGGCCAATCAGAGGAAGAGCCTTGCTCCCCCAAAGGTGAGAGAACCCCAGGAAACAGCCTAGAGGGTGTCCAACCTGTGGTCCCAAGGCTGCACAAGGATTACATGAGCCTCAGCAGGGAGGCTCAGGACATCTTCCTTGCCTCCCTCCCCAGCCCAGCCTCCATCATCTCCTGAAGGGCTGGGACAGAGGGTCAGAGAGCACAACTGTGAAGAATCACAGCTAGAGGTGTCCCAACCCCA